TACACATCTATTGATCTGTGCAGCAGCAGCACTGTGGCTTCTCATTAGCTAAACAAGAAGATGTCTCAGGAGGAGGTCAGATGCAAGACTGAACTGAAAAACGTCTTCTCAAACAAAACTCAGTGACATGCAAATACAAACCTTCTTTAAAGCTGCACAGCCTCCGAACATCGGTCGGTCATTACTGCAGATCGGAAGTGACATCTTTTAGCTTTGACATGCAATCCTCTATTTCTGACTAGTACTTTCCTCCCAAAAAATATGATTTAGAGGCCACAAAGGAAAAGTATGGATTCTCAAAAGGATTATCCCATTTATCTTATGCATAGTGAAAAAAGTGCAGCTTAAGACCAAAAGAGCAACACAGCATGTAGAATTTAGAGCATAAGAAGAACTGATGTTTATCTGCAAAGAACAAGCAATAAAAATAGATACTCAGCTTACAAATGCAGCTTTTGAGTAGTTCTACTTATTTTGTATCAGAAATTGGTATTATTGCATTAAAACTCATTTAACCTTCACGAGAGTTGAAGTAAAGTTAAAAGTATGAATTGACGTTTTGGTGCTACTTGGAGGAAAATGAGTACAGCTGTGTTGATGGGACTGCAATGAGTCCAGAACAAATGTCCCCAAGAGGATGTCTATTGTCTTGTCTGGGATTGTATTGTATCATATTTGTGTTCCTTGTCTGATGTCACAACATTGTTTTGTCTCATTTCGTTTCAAATTGCACAACAATTTTGACACCCCAGACAGGACCCTACTACACAGTCACATGACTCCATCCTATTCGTAGAACAGCATCTTGTGTGTGTAATTATGAATGTATGTATTATTATATATAAAATGGATTATCGGCCATGACAGCAACAATGATGTCAGACACTGATACCGACACAAGTTTTCATTCCGGTGCATCCCTAATAAAAGTACTATATTACTAATATACTACATTATTGTTAATCTTATAGCTAAATCTCACCTGATTTAAGCTCATCATCCAACTTTCATTATTTGAACATCTACTAATCATCTAGTAATCATCTATATTCAGCACATCTTTAAAGATGCAAGGAGACAGGTCATTTTCTGTGGCGGGCTCTGAGCTTCGGAATGAGCAACCCATCTCTTTGAGGTGAAGACGTTTTTATATGACCTGGCCTTTCCTCCTTGCCATTAGTGTTGTCATTTTTAACCTGCTTGTTGTTTTAGTGTGTAATAATTTATTTTATCTTTTTGCTTAGCCTCTTTTATTTTCTGTACAGCGCTTTGGTGGTACTTTGTTTCTGTAAAGCTCTATATAAATAAAGATTGAGTTGAATTGAGTAGTACCAACATAGTTATAGTAGTTTTTAAAAAAAAACACCATATGGCAGGGTGTAAAAGGTAATACTTTACCATAAAATCTGTTCACTTGAATTTACAGATGGCTTGTAACAAAGGAACATCCGTGAATCTCTCAAATGATCTCACGCTGTAGGTGAAAATCACATATCTGTATAACATTACTGTGTCTTCAGGTCTTTTTCCCCAACTGTGCTTTATTGTCTGTCAGAATTTCGGCGTGGAGCCACATCCCATCGTGCAGCGCGTCATTGATGAAGTGTAAAGCTGAATGCACAGCGGCTGGTGAGCTTACTGGTCACAGATGTGCACTGGCATTCCCACAGCTGTGCATTCAAAGCTTGAAAGGACCACTGCAGCTGTTCTAACAGACTCCTCTGATTGGTGCTGACCTGTGAACGGCTGGACACACATCACAGAACAAGCTGTGAATATTCTTCGAGTCAAGAGAAAAAAAGTTCAGCACAACTTTTTTGATTAGTTTTCCAAGTTTTGTTTTTTTACCACCCTTCTTTAACTAGATAGTTTAAATTTTAACTGCAATGCTTTGGCTCACTGATGCAGTTAATCTATCAGGTTACGCATGCACAGATGGCAGCGGACCCTCACTCAAATGTCACTTTTCTCTGGCTGCACTGAGAGAATCCAGATCAGATATGTCTGACCACATCTTAGGAAACAATCTGTTAGAAAACTAAGTCCCATCTCTTCCCCATGAAGTAAAATATTAAAAAAGGATTGTGTGAGGTATTTTTTCTTCCTTCATGAAAGATTTACATTAATCCCGTCAACGTGTGTGGATGTTTGCAGCTGCTGGTGAATTCTTATGAATCGTATGTCCTTGTGAGAAAAGAAGAGACAGATGCAAAGAGTCTGACACATCAGTGGCTTGTGGTTTCACGCGGTCAGTGTGTCTCACGCTTTTGACTCCTAAAGATCACGAGAGCATTCGGAGCAAAGATCACGGCTGAGAAGAGAGGGGCTTCTAAAACAAGCAGCTCTGTGCGTTTCCAGAACGGATGGTCTTTCAAAATCTACAAGATTATTTAAAATCTGATGCATAATCCAGTCATGTCCTGCTCCTACCGGCAGCTTTGTCTTTGGCCACGCCCACCCATGTTCATAACTCAGCTTCCTGTTGTATTCTGCTCACAGCGGTTTTACAAAGTTCACCCCATTGCTCGAGGCTTCTGATTGGCTGGTGGTTAAACCTACACCTTTGGCATCCGTTTCTTTTTGATAGTGTTGAATTTATTCTTTATTTATCAAATCATCATCATCATAATCCTCATTAGTTGTTTTTCAATTCATGCAAATGTTTGAAGAATTTGCACCTGTTTAACATGAAGTTACTCTGAACAACAATATAAATGCAACATTTTTGTTTTTGCTCTCATTTTTCATGAGTTGAACTCAAACATCTGAAACATTTTCCACATCCATTAAACACCCATGACTCTCAGATATTGTTCTGAAATCTGTCTACATGTTAGTGAGCACTTTTCCTTTACCAAGATGATCCATCCCACCTTACAGGTGTGGCATATCAAGGGACTTATTAGACAACATGAATAATGTACAGGCATGCCTTAGACTGCCCATAATAAAAGGCCACCCTGAAATGTGCACAGTTTTTCTTTGGGAGGGGGGGGGGCAGAAAACCAGTCAGTATCTGGTGTGGCTACCATTTGCCACGCAGGGTCTCTGTCGCATAGAGTTGATCAGGTTGTTGATTGTGGCCTGTGGAATGTTGGTCCACTACTCTTCAATAGCTGTGCGAAGTTGCTGAATATTGGCAGGAACTGGAACACACTGTTGTATATGCCGATCCAGAGCATCCCAAACATGCTCATTGGGTGACATGTTTGGTGAGTAATGCTGGCCATGCAAGAACTGGGACGTTTTCTGCTTCCAGGAATTGTGTACAGATCTTTGCAATATGGGGCCGTGCATAACCATGCTACAATGAGGTCATGGTCGTGGATGAACAGCACAACAATGGGCATCAGGATCTCGTCACAGTACCTCTGTGCATCCAAAATGCCATCAGTAAAATGCACCTGTTTGTTGTCCACAACATAAACCTGCCCATACTAGTACCCCACCATCACCTTGGGCTACTCATAACAAAACGTTGACATCAGCAAACCGCTTACTCACACAATGCCACACAATCATCTGCCCTAAACAGTGAAAACCAGGACTTATCATTGAACAGAATGCCTCTCCAACGTGCCAAAGGCCATCAAATGTGAGTGTTTGACCACTCAAGTTGGTTATGAAGACGGACCGCAGTCAGGTCCAGACCTCAATGAGGATGACGAGCATGCAGATGAGCTTCCCTGAGATGTTTTCTGACAGTTTGTGCAGAAATTCTCTGGTTATTCAAACCAATTGTTGCTGCAGTTGTCCGGGTGGCTGGCCTCAGGCGATCCTGGAGGTGAACATGCTGGATGTGAAGGTCCTAGGCTGGTGTGGTCACACATGGTCTGCGGTTGTAAGGCCGGATGGATGTACTGTGGCATTGTGCTGTTTGTTCAACCTACCCATTTCAGGGTGGCCTTTTATTGTGATCAGTCCAAGGCACACCTGTACATTATTCATGCTGTCGAATCAGTTTAAACTTAAAGAAGTCTGAGCCATGTTGTGTCAAATCTTGACTTGGCTTTTCTATAAGGAAGCCATTCTGCACTTCCCTCTTACATTTATAGCCTAAGAAGCAACTATCGGGTCAGTGTGATCTGTCAAGCTTCTGTTTGCTCAGCAAATATCACATCAGTTTCATAACTTTCAAACTCTCTAGAAATTTTAGTTCTTTTCATTTTCACAAATCAGAGTTCTGCAAAGTCTTCAGGAAACCTGCTCCTCTTTGGGTTTTCATTGAGATTTAATCTGGAAGTAAAACACCAAAACAATCAGCAAACCGTGGCCTGTTTATGAACGTCAGGCAATACAGAAGTGAGGTTAAAATTCCAACGAAAGTCTAATCTGTCATCTTGTTTTCAGTACGTGTCGTCCCTGTTCTTCTGCATGCTGCTGCAGGCTCATGCCCATGAAGAACCCCTTTGCATGCAGCCTGACCCTTATTTACAGGTTCAGATAAACTGTGTGCATGCTACACATTTGTGCTGTACCTCAGCAATCTACATAGTCTCTATTTTTTAAACAGAAAAATTGTAACAATGCAGAATGCAGCTCTGAGGAAAGCTCACAGGTTTTGATGAAAAATGTTCAAAGGTGGAAAAGTTCAAAGGTGCACACACAATTAATACAAAAACACCATCCGGTAATTGGAGAATCATTTTCTTATTTCTCTTTTTTTTTCTCTCTTTGTTTCTTATCTAATAAAAGTGACACGTTAAATTTGATTGTTGCACTTATTATTTCCCATGCATCTGGAAATAGTGTATAGCAGGAAGGAAAACAGTTTGGGGGATATTACAGGACCTTAGTTCAATTTTACAGCATAATTTGAAAATGGAAGTCAGGTTAAAGTTCATGCAAAAGAAAAAAATCCATAAACCTGCTAAATATTTCAAACTGACCAGGTTTGTAAACATCTTCTGATGGGAGTTATTGATTAATAACGTCATTGTGTGACAATAATCTCTGATTTAAAAAAAAATCACAAGACAGAAAGATGTGTGAACACTCACATGATTTTATCCGGGTCGATTTGCCGGTGCAGGGCGAGAGAAAGCCCGAACAGAGAGCCCGGCTCTCCGTCTTTCCTGATGACATGAGAGGTGTCCAGGTTAAATCCGAGCGCTCCGCGAGAAAAGTGCATAAAAAGTAAAAGTAGGGCCTGAAAAGCAGCTGATTTTCTCTGCAGCAGCATAGCAGCTCGCCCAAAAGCGTCCAGAAGTCCAGAGCGGCAGGTCCTGCTGCTCCTCTGACCTCAGTCCCTTCATAAATGATAATAACTGAGACCTACAGCCGCTTGTTTAAGCTGCTCCACAGCGCCCCCTCTGGTCGCAGGAGGAACAACCACCCATAGCTTCAGCTGTTCGATTGCGTTTGCTCCTAATTCGTCCTGCAATTCATAATGAAAAAAAAATTCAAATTCCATTATTAAGTAATTGACTAATAAGTGACTCCCTTATAATTAATAACCTCTCATTAAAATGAAAATGTCCCATTTTATGTTTAAAACTCTATTGGTTAATCATAGGAAACAAGTCCAGTGGGCAGCTGAAACAAATAAATAAACAAACTTTATTAAATACAGATTTTTTCTTTGTTTTATGGGGAAAACAAACATGAATTCATGTCTGCTCTTTGAAATCTATGCTTTCTGCAGCTGTTTACTATGATATCAGAAGGTTTTTTACTTAAACACTGTAGACGTGTGTTTTAATGCTTCATTTTATTGTGTTGCCTGTTTAAGGTGCTTTTTATCCTCTTGTGTCTGTAATCATCTCTATGTAAGTTTCATTTGTTGAACTACATATATTTTTATGGCTGATATTACATGGAATTTTATAAAAAGTTGCCATAAAGATAAAAAAATTGTGATCTAATCGTTTTTGCTAGACGTATTAACCCTACTGCACATAATTTTAAAATTTCACACAGAGCAGACAACTGTTTCATACCTAAATAATCGATTTCATGAATCATGAATGTTGAAATACAGAACTTCAAATATTTAAATCTCATAAACTCAAATGTAAATTAAGGGAATATGAAATAATAATATTTTTGTCTAATTTTTGTACTTTATGCATTTCAACTAACAATTTTAAAAATGTATTTAATTCAGCTCCTTTTATTATTGCTCTAAAACAATTTACTGAAATGAACTGAACTCAACTTTATTCATAAAGCAACAAGTGAAGTGCTACAGTGTAAAACTTGGGAATTAAAGCAGAGAAAAATTGAATAAATCATGTATAAAAAAAAGGCTAAAACAGAAATTCATCAGTAAACACAGGGAATGTCTTCAAACATGCAAATTGTTTGTTCCTGTTTTAGTTTGGTGGACGCTCATAAATTGCATGTGTTTACATCAGCTGGACAAATAATAGTCCTAAAATCATCCACAGCAGGAGACGAACGTCTGCAGGCCAGAAACAGGTTGTACTGACTTTAACTTAGGATAACAAACATGCAAAGACCATGAACAACAAAAGCAATCTACTGAATGAGTTTATTATTCAATGCAATATTTATGTGTCATTATTAGGAGCATCTGCTGACGCTCATGAATAAATAATTACTGTCTGAGAACCTGCAGCTCTGGTCATAAAACATTTCACTCAACTCATTTATTGTCATCATGTTCTGATTTAAACCATCTAATTCCTCCAACAAAAGAACTGAATATAAAATATCTGGAGGATGTCTAAAGTTTCCTCATGGCGTGGAGTGGTGTGGGCCGTTGTGTGTAACTTTTTAAAACCTGCAGGAACTTTAATCCTCTCCTCTGAGCTGGATGGTGGTGGGTGTGAAGTCTGAACCAGATCGTGATCACACAGCAGAACACGACACAATGTGGGCATTGTTGGAGTTAGAAAGACCAGTCAGTGTGTGTCTCTGCTTGTGTGTGTGTGTGTGTGTCTCTGCTTGTGTGTGTGTGTGTGTGTGTGTGTGTGTGTGTGTGTGTGTGTGTGTGTGTGTGTGTGAGCTGGCAGGTGGGGGCTGGGTGTATGAGGAGTGTGTGGGTGGAGGGGTACAGCAAGGGTCTTCCTCACATTCCTAATGGCTGCAGAAGGCTTGGTTCTAGTGTAAAATATGTGAAAGGCGTCTCTGTTGCTGCGGGTTTTCTGACAGATGCATCAGATATGAAGCCACCACAAGCCTGTCCACTGATCTCACCCCATTCCCTGCAGCTCAACAACCCCCTGCAGTCATCATGTCGGCAAGCAATGGCTTGTGTTAATCTGAGTAATGTCAAAAATATTTACTCTGATGCACTAAGTAGTTGTTCTTTTTACTGGTCTTCAATTTTTCATTTCACAGATATTGCATCATTTTTCCTATTCAGTGTTTTTTTCAACAAACACATTTAGGAAATATATAATGCATTCTTAGGTTTAAACATAATAATGTTTTCAGTTTTGAAGTAATTTCTTCTAATCAACCAAGAACAACGAAATTGATTGTTTTCATGCAACTTTTACTCATCTAGACCAAAAAAGGAGCTGTAATATAAAAATGAGTGTAAAATTATACTAATACTGATGTATAATAATATTTGTTTTGAATCAAACATCTTCATATTTTTTAGAATTTTTTTATACTTAAGTAGCTTTTTTCTCTCTCTTCTCCAAGTTAAATTCAACTCATTCTTCAATAAGATATGTATAATGAACTGCCTTTTAAAATGGTTAATAACTCACATTGTTGACACACAAACTTAAACTAATTTTAAAACAAAAACAATTAAACTCACTGCATGGGTTTAGCTTTTATTCTGAGGACAATGTTTTTGACTCAGAGTGATTTTTATTGCCTTGAGATGAATGAATGATCAATTACTGAAAAAATAAAAGCATCATTTAGAAGCTATTTTGTGTAATTACCTGGCTTTTTGGGCTCTGCTAGTGCGTGTAAAGGTGTGTAGCTCCACCTTACAGACATCGCCACGTCCACTGATTGTTGGTGCCACGGTCGGTGAGAGGAGGTGAAGCTGTTTTTGTCTCGGGTCAAACAGAATCCAGAGACTCTGATTCAGCTAGGACAGGTGGAGCTCCACAGGTGACTGGAGATTAGCAGCTGTTATATTCAAATTAAAGGAACACTCATTATGGAAGGGATATTCAATTTAACTAAAAGAATGTCTAATATGACAGAAATAAAACTTTTTCTTCCTTTTTTGCTCGGTTTTGATCCACATAAATAATAATTATCAAAATAGTTTTATAATCATATTATATGTGTAATAATGAGCTGTTTTGTGCCAAAATGTTTTGGTTTGAATAAGTCCAATAACCAATCAGACCTGAGTCACCAAGAAGAAACTAACCCCAGGAGTAAGTGGGAGAAAGGAGGCGTGCAGGATGAACAGCTGGTAGCAGACAGCTTGGTGGCGTGCCAACGAACACCAACGATGACCCTAACATATTGCAAGCAGATGGATATCACTCTAGATTTCATCAAAATGCTCAGATCCCAAAGAAAAAAACTGAAAGCTATATATTAAGTTGTGGGGGAAAACAAATTTGCACGTTATCAGAGCGATGCACAGCTGTGTGGCTAGAAATTTATCGTGTTCTGGGATGCAGATTAGGATTATTTGGTACTCAAACCTCTTTTATATACTGAAGTTACCCTTACACTGTAAAATCTGATCATTTCACCTTGCTAAAAAAACATGCAGATTGTTCTCAAAATAAAAACGGCTAAGCCCACTTGTTTACAGCTATGAATAAACAAGATTAACCATGTTATGTAAATTTTACTTGTTTGTGTGTGAAACTAAATCAAATATTTTTTGAGTAAAAAAATAAAAATATGTATACAGTCACAAGTAATTTTGGTTTGGAGTTACTAATACTTACAATGTAAATTGCACTTAAATGCAAGCTACTATAACTACTACAAACCAGTACATAGTACTTGGATATTTGCTGACTGAACGTGTATTTCTGAGTTGTAATATTTTCTATGTGCATTACATTACATAATAAAGTAACTGATGTAGTGTAAGTCAGGATAGCTATAGCATTTGAAGGTGGATGTTTTGCAGGTAACTAAAACTTGTGCAACAATAACTTAGAAATTGTCAAGTTCAATTAAATTAACATTAATAGCAACTTACACAATGTAAAGGTCACTCAGAATAAATAGTGTACATGTCTTATATTCAATGACATTTGAATTCATAAAATCTATTCAGTAGTTCATATTGGTTCTGGTAACTTCAGGGGCGTGTCCAGGGAGTGGCCTGGGGTAACACATGCCACCCTTGGAATCTGATTGGCCACCCTAGATGCCACCACACTAATTTATCTTTAAATAGGCTTTTCATTGTCCACAAAAGGCTTGGAGGGAAAACAAAAAAAGCATAACCATGCCACCCATGCACAAAGTTGTGCCTCACCTGGGCCACCCCATTTTAAAAGATCTGGGCACGCCACTGGGTAACTTCTCTGAAACGAGTTACGACAACTATTGGATTTTACAGTGTATAATCCAACTAGCAACAACATTTATGCTGCACAGAGAAAAAAAGCTAAAATACATCACACTGTTGTGCTTTATCTGCTGTGCAACAGTCAAACATGCAACATTTGTCCTTTCTGGAAAAGTAGCCTGTTTCTTGGTGGAATTTTTCAAAATTCATGAAGTACACAACCATCAATGTATGAAGTCACGGATTTTCCAAAAGGGTTCAAATGAAGAAAACTTGATTTCTTTGGTTTCTTGAAGACATTTTCATTTCTCATCCAGGAGATTTGTCAATTCTGACTGGAATATGGGAGAGTCAAGCTTATAGGCCTCAAGAAATCAGAGTGGGACCTCTTGGAATTCTTTACCTGACCAGCTGCCTTCATTTGAACCTTTTTGGATTACCATGACCTAAATGACAGAGAACCTTCAGAAGAGCCAATAGTCATTTATTGAGGTGTGATTTCTGGAGCCAGCCTTGACTTTTCTGTGAGTTTTGTTGCTGACACCTCCGTCCTTGAGACGTGTGCTGAGACTTGTGCAACTCAGCGACGTAAATAAAAGTCAGCACAAACAAGATTATCTCAGTTGTGACTCCTTCTACTGATAGGGAGGAACCGGGAGGAATATAGACTCCCTGTCGTACGGAGGGGGAGGCGATAATGGAGGTTGTGTCTGCATCAGTGGCCGTGGAAAAGCTCAGTGTTGGATTTCACTGTGTGAAAGTTGGAGCAGCTGATCCTGGTTCTGTTGTGATGATGCAGCGGTCCTTTGTGAGGACACCATCCGGAGTAAATCTCTTCTCCCTCTCGCACAAAGGGATGCTTCCATTTATGGGCCCCTGGGTG